ACATCTGTGCGTTTTAATCACTGCAGTTTTATGTCTGAATGATGTTCACCGAGTTTTGATGGTTTTTTTTGCTGTTGTCTGTAGCTGGCAGTTAGTCGAGTTGAACATAATGTAGAGCCGTAATGATCTCTCTTCCCAACTCCTTTTCATTCTCTCCCCTCCACCTCCTCTCCCTCTTTCCCCCAATTTTTTAAAGATTGGATCCAAATATCTCTTTTAATCCAAGTACGTATAGGAGATATACTTTTTTTCGCTCAACACTTTCGTTAAAGGATTGCGGATGATTGTTCTTTTATGAAGTAAAACCTTATCAGCAACTCATTGTGATCAAAGCACAAAAGAACTCGAACATTTATCCTTGGCCTTTAAGTAGGTGTTGGGATGCGACAGCTGTTCCGTGCGTTGTGATTTTCTGCGGAACAACCTTATTTTCCAATAAGTTTATCCTTACGGAAAGTTCAGATAACTTTTGCTGTCTCACTTATTTCTCGCTGCTTAGGGTCACGCTACCACAGCTCCACCAACTCGAACTACCACTGCAACTGTTACTGTTGGACGGGTCCAACCACGACTGCCCGGACAGACATTAACGAATTCGTCCTCATTTTCTACACCTACTGTAAGTTGTATGTCTATCAGCCTTGAAATGTATGGTAGGCACCATTGCAGTATACTATTAACGCACGTCCTGCTGAAATGAACCTCAACTATAAAGCGCTTTATGAGAAGGAGAAATTGGAGTGCGAACGACTGAGGAAGGAATTAGAGGAAGTGAAACGGTCCCATGATCATGTAAGTGCCCTTTTTGCTTTGTCAGAGGCTTTTTTAGAGTTTTTGTTTTGAAGAATGGATCTGTTGCCGCATTGCGCTCATCCTCATCGCGGTTCCGCAACGGCTCCCCTGCTAGCGGACCTGCACCGGTATTGAAGTCTGCATCGGGCAACTCCTTAGATGATAATGAACGACGGTCATTGGAGCGAAAAATAGCTGATCTTGAAATTCAACTTAAGGTAATAATTGCGGTTCGATAGTTCCATAGTATCCATTTATCCAA